CACAAAACATGTTGTGCACGAGCGCCATCCACGGCATTGCACTATACACATAGACCACAGCAATAAAGTAATAAAATGATGTAGGATGACAGTAAGCCAGCACGTTCGTTATCTCCGGTGCCCCACTCAATATGGCCGCCGCTTGAGTGGGGCACCTGAGATAAAGAACGCGCTGGCTTACTGTCATCCTACATCATTTTATTACTTTATTGCTGTGGTCTATGTCTATAGGGCAATGCCGTGGATGGCGCTCGTGCACAACATGTTTTATGTAAAAACCTCGTAGTTCTGAGGAAACCGGAAGTAATGCGGTCCCACAACTCGATAAGTTCGTAGTTTTGATCGATCACCGGCATCTCAGTCCAGGAAGTAGGTGGTGACCCTGGATGATGCCTGAACAAAGATGGTGCCGGACTTCTGGAGAGAACAGCCGATGAGGGCACTGTCAAGGCCGAGTATGGTGGTCTCTGTGAGAGGTAATACATACCAGGAAGTGTTACATTTGCGGACAAGAACTTAAAAACATGGGATTCTATGGCCACGTTACACAATGAGCCGTCTGCAGGCAGATGAGGGAAAACTCTCATTTTCACCAACCAAGAAAAAAATGAATGATTCACCCAAATGGTTTGATTCACCAGGTTTGTACTCACCGGGTGCAGCTGGTCCTGCATATGCTGATGAAGTCACATTGGGTGCAGTTTTGTCGGTGCTGCCGTATGGTGGAGGGGACCCAGCCGTAGCATTACGGGTCGGTCTGGTAGAGCCCGTCAGTTGGCGCGTTCCACTAGTCACCTGGGCAGACACTGGCTTCTTGGACTGCGTTGTAGCCTCGGCTTGTGGTCCAGATACATTATGAGCTGCCAAAGTCATGGTCGGTACCAGTTTCTGTAGCGCAGGCCCGGCGGTACCATGACTTGCTGGACTGGTAGCGGTGGCAGCTTTGCCGGCAGTCGGTTGGGGTTCCCTGGTGGTCACATTGGCGGATGGAGACGCAAGATTGGTTTGTGTCTTGGACGGCTCCTCAGTTGCCAATGTTGGCGTTGAGCGCTCATGAAATACTCCCGTTGCGGTCGGTGGTTGTGTAGTTGTGTTATCAGAGGGTTGGGCTGTCTTGTCGGTTTCTAGCCTGGCATGGAGGTGAGTGGTGTCACCGGGTGTAGTAGAGGTTTCGTTGGATGGCATCGTTCCGTTCACAGAAACGGTTGTCGGTACTGAGTTCCCGGATCCAGATGTAGTAGTTGGCACAAGACGTCTAGTTTCAGATGTGGCACCAGTTGGGATGATCGTCTTGACATCTGAGGCGGGAACAGTTGGCCCAATGTCTCCAGTTTTAGATGTGGCATTTGTTGCCATTGTTCTTACAATGGCAGGTGTGGCGGCATTGGTAACAGGTAATAGAGAGTTTCCAGATATGGCACCAGCTGGCACGGTGATTGCAGACTCAGATGTGGTGGAAGGTCTGATGGTGCTTCTGGTCTCCAAATGAATGGCGGGAAGCAAACTAGTTTTGGTGTCAGTTGTTGGTGCAGCCGAGACAGAGCTTCTGACTTTCAATGAGGTGAGAGCTGGCGTGACGTTTTCAGTTGAAGACGTGATAGTAGTTACCATGTTTTTGTCAGATGTGATGCCAGTCGGTAAAGATGGAATAAAGTTGGTAACATCTAAGACGGGAGCGGTTGGCAAATTGTCTCCAGGTGCGGATGGAGCTCTAGTTGGCACGATTTCTGTTTTATCGAGCAATGTGGCGCTTGTTCCTTTCATTCCGGTTTCAGTTGAGATGCCGGACGGTACAATGTTTCCAGACATGGTGGATGTTGGCAGAATGTTCTTTGTGTCGGTTATTCTACCACTTGGAACAACGTTTCTGGGTTCAGTTGTGTCTGTTGGCCCTAAATTTTGTGTGTTTCGGGTTTCAGACACGGTTGCAGTTGGCACAGTGTCTTTGGTTTCTGATGTGATGTCAGTTGGCACAATGCTTCTGGCTACAGTTGTGATGTCAGTCGGGAAAGTGTTCCTATCTTCTGAGATGGTAGCAGATGGCACGGCGTCTTCAGTCCTAGATGAAGCGTCAGTTTCCACGATTTCAGATGTGGTGCCAAATGACATGTTTACTGTTTCCAATGCAGTAAGCAAACTGTTCCTAGATACAGACGTAGTGTCAGCTGGCACTGCGCTGGTGATGTCAGATGTGGTGCCAGTTGGCACAGTGTTTATGGTGTCAGATGTGGTGTCAGCTGCCACACTGTTTATAGGGTCTGATGTGGTGCCCCCTGGCACAGTGTTTATGGTGTCAGATGTGGTGTCAGCTGCCACACTGTTTATAGGGTCTGATGTGGTGCCCCCTGGCACAGTGTTTATGGTGTCAGATGTGGTGTCAGCTGCCACACTGTTTATAGGGTCTGATGTGGTGCCCCCTGGCACAGTGTTTATGGTGTCAGATGTGGTGTCAGCTGACACACTGTTTATAGGGTCTGATGTGGTGCCCCCTGGCACAGTGTTTATGGTGTCAGATGTGGTGTCAGCTGACACACTGTTTATAGGGTCTGATGTGGTGCCCCCTGGCACAGTGTTTATGGTGTCAGATGTGGTGTCAGCTGACACACTGTTTATAGGGTCTGATGTGGTGCCCCCTGGCACAGTGTTCATGATTTCAGGTGCAGCGTCAGCCTGCACAGTGCTGCTGGTGTCAGGTGTGGTGTCAGCTGTCACAATACTAACGGTGTCCAATGTGGTGTCAGCTGGTACAGTGCTTATGGTGTCAGATTTGGTACCATCTGGTACAGTGCTGATGGTGTGAGATGAGGTATCAGCTGGAACAGTATTTATGGTATCAGAATTATTGTCAACTGGCACAGTGTTTATAGTGTCCATTGTGGTGTCAGATGTGGTGAAAGCTGGCCCAGTATTTGGGGTATCAGGTTTGGTGCCACCTGGCACAGTACTGATGGATTCAGATGTGATGAAATCTGGCACGGTTCTTATGGTGTCAGCTGGCACCGCCTTTCTATTATCAGATGTGGTGACAGGTGGCATGGTGTTCTTGGATGTATCTGTTGGCTCAGTGGTTATGGTTTCAGATGTTTTTCCGGTCTGCATGATGTTGGTTGTTGTGGTGTCTTCTGTACCATGATAAGATGCTGTTTTATCCATCGTGTTAGACTGCAGCCCGGCAGCGGGGGCTTTAGTTTCAGATGTGGGTAAAGAAGGGTGAGAAGTCTGAGGGTCAGATGTGGAGGCAGGTGGGGTGATAGCTGGCACAGTGTGTATGATGTCAGGTTTGGTGCCACCTGGCACAGTACTGAAGGAGTCAGCTGGGTCAGAAGTCTGAGGGTCAGATGTGGAGGCAGATGGGGTGGTTGGGTTTCTTTCTAAAGCGGTAAGTGATGGAACATTTGGTCTTTTTGCAATTATGCCAGCAGATGTCTCACTGAGTCTTGAGATTCCCATTTCAGGAACAGTAACTGAGGCCTCCCTGGTTCCAGGTGGCTTGGTGGTCATAACAACGCTTTCGACTGTATCTGGTACAGTCACTGATGCTGAAATAGGTGTCAGAGTCGTCCTGGTTCCAGGTGTCTTGGTGGTCATAACGACGCTTTTGACTGTATCTGGTACAGTCACTGATGCTGAAATAGGTGTCATAGTTGTTCTGGTTCCAGGTGGCTTGGTGGTCATAACGACGCTTTCGATTCCATGTGGCACAGTCACTGATGCTGAAATAGGTGTCATAGTCGTTCTGGTTCCAGGTGGCTTGGTGGTCATAACGACGCTTTTGACTGTATCTGGTACAGTCACTGATGCTGAAATAGGTGTCATAGTCGTTCTGGTTTCATGTGGCTTGGTGGTCATAACAACGCTTTCGACTCCATGTGGCACAGTCACTGATGCTGACATAGGTGTCAGAGTTGTTCTGGTTCCAGATGGCTTGGTGGTCATAACGACGCTTTCGAATGTATGTGGCACAGTCACTGATGCTGAAATAGGTGTCAGAGTCGTCCTGGTTCCAGGTGTCTTGGTGGTCATAACGACGCTTTTGACTGTATCTGGTACAGTCACTGATGCTGAAATAGGTGTCAGAGTTGTTCTGGTTCCAGGTGGTTTGGTGGTCATAACTACGCTTTCGACTCCATGTGGCACAGTCACTGATGCTGACATAGGTGTCAGAGTTGTTCTGGTTCCAGATGGCTTGGTGGTCATAACGACGCTTTCGAATGTATGTGGCACAGTCACTGATGCTGAAATAGGTGTCAGAGTCGTCCTGGTTCCAGGTGTGGCATCTGCTGGTACGTTGGTTCCAGTTCCAATATTTGATGGCTCAGTGGTAGCTGATAGTACAGTTGTTCTGGTTCCATGTACAACGGAGGATTGCATGCTGCCTCTTGCAACCGATGTTGTAATGTACCCGATGCTGGTTCCCGTTCCGATCACGGTAGTGCGTGGCAAGCGAACCCTTGTATAGGAAGTTGTAATGGCTTGTAAAGTAGTTCTTGTAGTTGTGCCAGGTAATGGCATACTAGGTCTGCTTTCAGTAACATCTGTAGACACCTGTTTGGTCCTTGTTATGGTTACGGAAGCAGACGGCCCACTGGCCTTTGCATCATTTATCGATATCGGTGATAAAGTGGATTTGGTGTCAGATTTGGCTGTTGATGGTATAATATGTCGGGTTTTAGTAATACATGTAGATGCCACATTGGCCGTTGTAATTGCAGATATAGTAGCTTGTGGTACACTGGCCTTCATAAAAGGTACAGTAATGGGTGCCAACGTGGGCCTGGTTAGGGACTTGCTAGTGGATGGTTTATCGGGTTTGGTTTCACTCACACTAGTATATTCCCAATAGGCTCTTGTGGTTCTAGTGTTGTTAGTAGATGCCACACTCACTAAAAAGGGCAGAGTTATGGGCGCTACGGTTCTGGTTCCTCTTGCAGTAGTAGATGGCGCGCTCACTCTTTTATAAGGGGTGGCAATGGGTGCTACAGTGGTCCTGGTTTCAGATCTGATAGTCGACAGTTTATTTCGGCTTATGTCACCACTAGAACCCAGAATGAGTTTGGTTGTGCCAGGTATGTTAGAAGGTGGCGCACTTAGTCCTGCATGAGATCCGGTAGTGGCTGCTACAGCGGCCCTGGTTTCATATGTGGCAATGCTAAGCTTGGTTTCTTTCGTAGCAGTAGATGCTGCATTGTATCTTGTGATGCTGGTTGTGGTAGAAGGTGGCACAGATGCTCTTGTGTGAGCCACAGCTGCCGGCGCTAAAGTTGTTCCGGTTTTAAAAGTGGCAGATGACACTATACTGGGTCCTCTTGCAGAAACAGTAGATGCCACCTTGGCTCCTGTGGTTCTGGTTCCAGCTACCATACTAAAAGAAATATTTTCCTTTGTAGTATCAGGCAACGCATTGGTTCTTGATCCGGTTGTTGCAGAAGGTGGCACACTGGCTATGGTGGCCCTTACGCCACTTGTGATGTCGGAGGACAAGCTGGTTCTCGATAGGCCCATGGTTTGGGCTCCAGTTTTGGTAGTTGGTGGCAGAGTCAGTCCTGTACGAGGTGCTGAAATGGATGCCACGGTGGTCCATGTTTGGGCAGTGTCAGATAATGTGACTGTTGTAAAAACCGTTTGTGCCGTGGTTGCAGCATTTCGTATGCCCATAGAGGCTCCAGTGGTTCTTGTATAAGGTGCTATATCAAGTGTTACCTCGGTTTTAGTTTCTGTTGGGGCAGTGGGGGGACTACTGGTTCTGGTTCCTGCTACAGTAGTAGATGGCACACTGGCTCCTGTATGAGGTGCAGTAATGGATGTCTTACCAGCCATCATTTGAGTATAGGAAGTAGCTGGCACCACGGTCACCAGTGGTGCACTAGCTGGTATGTTGGTACTTTTGACATCAGTGGTCATTTTGCTATTGAACTCAGTTACCGTTTCTAAATCTTCCTTATTGGTGCAGTTAGTTGTACCGACATTGCCAGCAGTGCTGCCCGGCATGGCACCAGAGGTGTGTTTCCCAGCCGCCATGGTGGCGCCCATAACAGTGGCCTGTGGAGGTGCCAGAGTGGCATTAAATCTTTGTTGTATTACCTGCTGTATCAGATCCCACAGTGACATTGGAGTTACGGGCATTGGTATGGGTAGTTGGACTCGGTTGGCGGTGCTGACACTACTGGTTGGGGTACTAGAGGTAGGGGTGTCGTTGAGACTAGCAGATGTAGAGGACTTTGTATCAGCCAACACGGCACTATTGGAAGCTGCAGTTCCATTACTAACAGAATTGGAGCCACTTGTATTACTGGGAACACTGGTAATTGTGGTATTCGTCCCACTTTCTATAGCAGAAGAATCAGTTACATCACTTAATACATGAGTACTATCATTGGCAGTATTACTTGGTGTGGTGGTAATCAATGTATTTGTGTTTGTCATACTAGAGTTGTCACTCGGCATACCGGTATTGTTGCCCGGTCCATTATCACTCGTGTAGCCTCCGTATTCAGACATGGCATTGTCAGCGCTGGTGGTATCACCAGCGATATTGTTGTCCCAGTGCCCAGGAGTACCAGTAACATTTGTCACATCGGTACTCGGCAAAGTCACAGAGGATTGAGTTGGGTTGCTCAACAGGGCGGTACTATTATTTATTGGGCCAGTCAAGATAACTGTACTGAGGATGGTAGCGTTACTTTCTAGATTTGGAACACTAGGCGTTGTGGTGTAGAGTCCAGGGCGAGGTGCCCCAGTGGTACTGGAATCAGATCCTGTATTGGATGTATTAGGGGTACTAGTATCAGATTCTGGGCTGAGTGTCCCAGAAGTACTGGTATCAGATCCTGTATTGTGTATCTTTGTGGTACTGGTATCAGATCCTGTATTAGGTGTCCCTGTGGTACTGGTATCAGATTCTGTAATGGGTGTCCCTGTGGTACTGGTATCAGATCCTGTATTGGGTGTCCCTGTGGTACTGGTTTCAGATCCTGTATTGGGTGTCCCTGTTGTACTGGTATCAGATCCTGTATTGGGTGTCCCTGTGGTACTGGTATCAGATCCTATAATGGGTATCCCTGTGGTGCTGGTATCAGATTCTGTATTGGGTGTCCCTGTGGTACTGGTATCAGATCCTGTATTGGCTGACGCTGTGGTACTGATATCAGATCCTGTATTGGGTGTCCCTGTGGTACTGGTATCAGATCCTGTGTTTGGTGTCCCTGTGGTAGTGGTATGAGATCTTGTGTGGAGTGTTTCAGTTGTACTGGTATCAGATCCTATAATGGGTATCCCTGTGGTACTGGTATCAGATTCTGTATTGGGTGTCCCAGGGGTACTGATGTCAGATCTTGGGTCAGGTGCCTTAGTGCTCCTGGTACCAGGTTTTACATTGGATGTCCCAGTGATAATGGTGACAGATCCAGTCTCTGGTGTCCCAGTGGTACCAGTGTCATATCCAGCCTCCTGTGTCCATGGGGTGCTGGTGTCAGATCCAGTCTCTGGTATCCAAGTGGTATTGGTGTCAAATGTGGTCTCTGGTGTCCCAATGATACTGGTATCGAGTCCAGTCTCTGGTGTCCCAGTTGTACCAGTATCAGATCCAGTTTCTAGTGTCCCAGTGGTACTAGTGTCAGATCTGGTCTCTGGTTTCCCAATGATACTGGTGTCAGAAATCTTCTCTGTTGTCCCATTGGTACTGATATCAGATCCAGTCTCTGGTGTCCCAGTGGTACTAGTATCAGATCCAGTCTCTGTTGTCCCAGTGGTACTAGTATCAGATCCAGTCTCTGGTGTCCCAGTGGTACTAGTATCAGATCCAGTCTCTGGTGTCCCAGTGGTACTAGTATCAGATCCAGTCTCTGGTGTCCCAGTGGTACTAGTATCAGATCCAGTCTCTGGTGTACCAGTGGTACTAGTATCAGATCCAGTCTCTTGTGGCCCAGTGGTACTAGTATCAGATCCAGTCTCTGGTGTCCCAGTGGTACTAGTGTCAGATCCAGTCACTGGTGTCCCAGTGGTACTAGTGTCAGATCCAGTCACTGGTGTCCCAGTGGTACTTGTATCAGATCCAGTCACTGGTGTCCCAGTGGTACTTGTATCAGATCCAATCTCTAGTGTCCCAGTGGTTCTAGTATCAGATCCAGTCTCTATTGTCCCAGTGGTACTTGTATCAGATCCAGTCCCTGGTGTCCCAGTTGTACTGCTATCAGATCCAGTCTCTGTTGTCCCAGTGGTTCTAGTATCACATCCAGTCTCTGTTGTCCCAGTGGTACTTGTATCAGAACCAGTCTCTGTTGTCCCAGTGGTACTAGTATCAGATCCAGTCTCTGGTGTCCCTGTGGTACCAGTATCAGATCCAGTCTCTGGTTTCCCAGTGGTACTAGTGTCAGATCTGGTCTCTGGTTTCCCAGTGGTACTGATATCAGATCCATTCTCTGGTGTCTCAGTGGTACTGATATCAGATCCCGTCTCTGTTGTCTCAATGGTTCTAGTATTAGATCCAGTCTCTGTTGTCCCAGTGGTTCTAGTATTAGATCCATTCTCTGTTGTCCCAGTGATACTAGTATCAGATCCAGTCTCTGGTGTCCCAGTGGTACTAGTATCAGATCCAGTCTCTGGTGTCCCAGTTGTACTGCTATCAGATCCAGTCTCTGTTGTCCCAGTGGTACTAGTATAAGATCCAGTCTCTGGTGTCCCAGTGGTACTAGTATCAGAATCAGTCTCTGGTGTCCCAGTTGTACTGGTATTTGATCCAGTCACTGGTGTCCCAGTGGTACTAGTATCAGATCCAGTCTCTGTTGTCCCAGTGGTACTAGTATCAGAACCAGTCTCTGGTGTCCCAGTTGTACTGGTATCAGATCCAGTCACTGGTGTCCCAGTGGTACTAGTATCAGATCCAGTCTCTGTTGTCCCAGTGGTACTAGTGTCAGAACCAGTCTCTGGTGTCCCAGTGGTACTAGTATCAGATCCAGTCTCTGGTGTCCCAGTGGTACTAGTATCAGATCCAGTCTCTGGTGTCCCAGTGGTACTAGTATCAGATCCAGTCTCTGGTGTCCCAGTGGTACTAGTATCAGATCCAGTCTCTGGTGTCCCAGTGGTACTAGTATCAGATCCAGTCTCTGGTGTCCCAGTGGTACTAGTATCAGATCCAGTCTCTGGTGTCCCAGTGGTACTAGTATCAGATCCAGTCTCTGGTGTCCCAGTGGTACTAGTATCAGATCCAGTCTCTGGTGTCCCAGTTGTACTGCTATCAGATCCAGTCTCTGTTGTCCCAGTGGTACTAGTATAAGATCCAGTCTCTGGTGTCCCAGTGGTACTAGTATCAGAATCAGTCTCTGGTGTCCCAGTTGTACTGGTATTTGATCCAGTCACTGGTGTCCCAGTGGTACTAGTATCAGATCCAGTCTCTGTTGTCCCAGTGGTACTAGTATCAGAACCAGTCTCTGGTGTCCCAGTTGTACTGGTATCAGATCCAGTCACTGGTGTCCCAGTGGTACTAGTATCAGATCCAGTCTCTGTTGTCCCAGTGGTACTAGTGTCAGAACCAGTCTCTGGTGTCCCAGTGGTACTAGTATCAGATCCAGTCTCTGGTGTCCCAGTGGTACTAGTATCAGGTTCAGTCTCTGGTGTCCCAGTGGTACTAGTATCAGATCCAGTATCTGGTGTCCTAGTGGTACTAGTATCAGATCCGGTCTCCAATGTCCCAGTGGTACTAGTATCAGATCCAGTCTCTGGTGTCCCAGTGGTACTAGTGTCAGAACTTTTCTCTGGTATCCAAGTGGTACTGGTATCAGATCCAGGCTCTGTACTTAGTGTCCTGGTTGTACCGGTGTCATTTCTGATATCTGGTGTCCTAATGGTGGTTGCCTCAGGATCAGAGCTGGGTTCCTCAGCTACAGTAGTGTCTGCAGCATTGATGGTACTGAAGTTGAAATCTATATTAGGTGTTGTAGTGAGACCTGTATCAGGTCCCACATCAGGTTCCCCAGTGGTACTGGTCCCAGTTACTTGATCTGCACTGAATATCCTAGTTGAAGCAGTGTCATCTCCTGTATCCGTGGTCCATGAATTACTCTTGCCATTTCCAGTGTCTGATGTCCCTGCGGTGGCAGACTCTGCACCGGGTATCCAACCACTACTGATGTCAAGTCCTATCTTGGTTGCCTTGGTAGCACTAGGTTCATGCTCACGGATGGATCCCTCACTGGTACTAATGTCACGGTATGCATCCTGCGTTCTAATGACACTTGTATCAGCATGTGTATCAGGTGTCCTTGTGGTATTCGGGTCAGTTTCTATAGCAGAGGTGGCACCAGTTCCTGCATCTGGTGTCATTGCAGACCTCGTGACACCCTCTGCGGCACTACTGTCGGATTCTGTTACCCCGACTGAAATGCTGGTCCCCATGTTATCAAGTCCACCTGTGTTCCTGAGGTCAGATGTAACGTGTGGTATCTCAGTAACTTTGCCCACGGTTGTTTCTATAACTGATGCAGTGAGTGGAACCTCCAGCTCTGCAGTGTTACTGGTCGGGTCATCTAAGGATACATTGGCAGGAAATTCTGATGTATTCGCGTTGATTGCAGCTGATGTCTGAGCAAGTATCGGCCCGATATCTGCAAGAAAAGACGTATACATCTTACTCTTCCATTTAATCATTAACTATAATAAATCAAATACATTTTCGGTATGTATCAGTTATGTATCTGAGCAATTTTTCAATCATTTTCAATAACATTACAGGAGGACCTGGATAAAGTAGGGGAGGGGCAACTGTATGTCACATGAGGTTTAATGTTGATAAATGTAAAGTAATGAATTTTGGGGTTAAAAACAGACAAGCGGAATACATATTATTGGGAACTCCACTAGGGAAGTCAGAGATGGGAAAAGATCTGGGGGTCATTGTAGACCGCAGATTGAACAATAGCTTGCAATACCAGGCTGCGGCACACAATGCCAGGCTGCGGCACACAATGCCAGGCTGTGGCACACAATGCCAGGCTGCGGCACACAATGCCAGGCTGCGGCACACAATGCCAGGCTGCGGTAAACAAAGCGAGCAGAGTTCTGTCTTGTATTATAAAAGGGAATGTACTGTAGAGACAAAGCGATAATTCTGCCACTTTACAGATCGCTGGTTCGGCCTCATCTGGAGTATGCGGTCCACTTTTGGTCACCAATCCATAGAAAGGATGTCCTGGAGCTGGAGAGAGTCCAGAGAAGGGCAACTAAATTAATTAAGGGGATGGAGGACCTAAGCAATGAGACGAGGTTACTAAATATAAACTTGTTCACGCTGCACGTGAGGAGATTAAGAGGGGACATGATTTTAATGTACAAAATGTTTGGCGGTGATGGCAACATCAGCAATAAACTTTCTACAGTTAACTCCATAACAAGGACAAGAGGCCACCACCTAAAACTGGTGGAGGAAAGATTTAACCACAAGGGACATAGGGGGAGCACTTTTTTTCAGTGAGATCGGTTACATTCTGGAACTCGCTGCCACAAGAAGTGGTATCAGCGGAGAGTATTAAATCATTCAAAAAGCATTTAGATACTGTGAGATTTAGCTTAAAATGGTAGCGCATTGAGGACTCTTCCACTCGCTTATGACTTCTTTTTAAGGGCTTCTGTGCCCACTTTTATTGAATCCAACTCAAAAGTCCACACAGGCTTTCCCTCGCAGGGGTTTTCAAACATAACATACAGCTCTTCTTCAGCCAAAATAACACTTTCAAAGTCTTACCGACTTTAGGTTGTCTGTTTACAATACAGCCTGTATCCAAACCGCCTGCCACACAGGCTAGTCTTTTGCCACACACACAGGTCATACGGTCCTCAATCTGCCAGACACAGACTGGTTCCAGGGTGGCGCCCTCTTGACTAGTGGCATCACAAAGGGGGGTGCGGCCTGCACCCGGGTGACACCATTGGATTGTCTGTTTACAACACAGCCTTTATCCAAACCGCCTGCCACACAGGCTAGTCTTTTGCCACACACACAGGTCATACGGTCCTCAATCTGCCAGACACAGACTGGTTCCAGGGTGGCGCCCTCTTGACTAGTGGCATCACAAAGGGGGGTGCGGCCTGCACCCGGGTGACACCATTGGAGGGGTGACACCAAAATGACTGACAGTCATTTTGGTGTCACCCTTCCCTGAAAAGTCGGGCGCTTGGTCATGGACCGAACGCCCGACAGTATCAGGAGAGAGGAGGGGACCCGGCGGCATACCTTATCCCGCCGGGTGAATGTCCCCTCCTCTCTCTGCCAGCGTCCATCACCAAGATGGCCGCCAGCAGGTATCGGAAGATCGCCGCACGTGCTCGATGACGTCTCGGCAAGTGGGTGGGGTGACACCCGGTTACTGCTCCGGGTGTCACCCAGCCTCGGGACGCCCCTGCTCTTGACTCCTGCATAGAGACCTCCTCTGTCTCCCAGGTGGAACCCTGAACATTAGCCAGCATTCTCTTCATAAGGGCTGTGCACAGGTGCACAACCACTCGGTGCTGGTCACTACTATAGTCCGGACCCAGGATTGGAGATTCCATCCCTCCCAATGCTCTTTGAAATCTCCCATTTCCCGGGAACCCAAGCCAAATCCGGAAAACCTGGGAAGAACTGCTAACCCTAAGCTCTTTCTCAGTAAAAGTTTGCGCTTTCCTGGAACTGCTCAGCCCCATCTCAGGAAAAGTTTGCGCTTTCCTGGAACTGCTCAGCCCCCCCTGTCTGAGAGTCCTGGGTGACTATATTGCCAAATGACACCATGGCATTGCAACAATCCCTTCCTCAGAGAATGGAACATACAGGGGTACAGGTACTCTTAAAATCAAGGATGGAAAAGGGACTCGTGTACACATATACACTGTCAGGAACCAGATCTGAACAAAGGGCCTCTGCTGTAGCTGGCGGTGGCTCTACCTGTTGAGTCACCTTAGAACCTTGGATAGCTCCTTGCCTGATCTCCTGTGTAATCCTCAGGTAAACCTAGTTTCTGCTGAACTCTGAACTTCTTGCTCCTCCCTTGTATTCCTATTTTAGCCACGCCTCTGCACTTCCTGTTTGCCAGATTATTTTGCTCCTGCCAATATCTTGCTTCCTGCTCCTCCTGTGATACAATCCGCTCATACTGCTATCCGTGTACCGACCTTTGGCTGCTGATTCACCGACTACTCTCATCGCCTTCCGCTTCATACCTGATATCTTTGGCTACTGACCTCGGCTTGTTCGCTGATTACGCCTCTGCCTGCTCCTCCACTACTACCGTCTGCTTGTGTACCGAACCCGGCCTGTTATACCACCAATTGCCTGCTGTTTCAGCTACTGGACTCCGAGCCTGATCCCAGATCGTGACATACACACGCACAATCACACACAGACACACAATAGGTTGGACTTGATGGACCTGTGTCTTTATTCAACCTCAAATACTATCTTACTCTGTAACTATTTTCCGATTTTTCAGTAGTGTGACATGTAGAAAGAAACATTAGATCTTCATCGATTTCCACTGAGTGGTTTTTATAAATTGTATCTAAGTGTGATTCGTATTTATGTCTCAAAGTATTTTCACGTTTTAAGTTTCGAGTAGAAATCAAATTTAGAACCGTTCATTTATCTTCTACGCTTTTAAAGGTGCCCATACACTGTACAATTCTCATATGAGAATGGCGGGAAATCCCGCGATCGTACGAGAATCGTGCAGTGTATGGAAGGCGTGCGACCACTCTGCCAGCGTCCATCACCAAGATGGCCGCCAGCAGGTATCGGAAGATCGCCGCACGTGCTCGATGACGTCTCGGCAAGTGGGTGGGGTGACACCCGGTTACTGCTCCGGGTGTCACCCAGCCTCGGGACGCCCCTGCTCTTGACTCCTGCATAGAGACCTCCTCTGTCTCCCAGGTGGAACCCTGAACATTAGCCAGCATTCTCTTCATAAGGGCTGTGCACAGGTGCACAACCACTCGGTGCTGGTCACTACTATAGTCCGGACCCAGGATTGGAGATTCCATCCCTCCCAATGCTCTTTGAAATCTCCCATTTCCCGGGAACCCAAGCCAAATCCGGAAAACCTGGGAAGAACTGCTAACCCTAAGCTCTTTCTCAGTAAAAGTTTGCGCTTTCCTGGAACTGCTCAGCCCCCCCTGTCTGAGAGTCCTGGGTGACTATATTGCCAAATGACACCATGGCATTGCAACAATACCTTCCTCAGAGAATGGAACATACAGGGGTACAGGTACTCTTAAAATCAAGGATGGAAAAGGGACTCGTGTACACATATACACTGTCAGGAACCAGATCTGAACAAAGGGCCTCTGCTGTAGCTGGCGGTGGCTCTACCTGTTGAGTCACCTTAGAACCTTGGATAGCTCCTTGCCTGATCTCCTGTGTAATCCTCAGGTAAACCTAGTTTCTGCTGAACTCTGAACTTCTTGCTCCTCCCTTGTATTCCTATTTTAGCCACGCCTCTGCACTTCCTGTTTGCCAGATTATTTTGCTCCTGCCAATATCTTGCTTCCTGCTCCTCCTGTGATACAATCCGCTCATACTGCTATCCGTGTACCGACCTTTGGCTGCTGATTCACCGACTACTCTCATCGCCTTCCGCTTCATACCTGATATCTTTGGCTACTGACCTCGGCTTGTTCGCTGATTACGCCTCTGCCTGCTCCTCCACTACTACCGTCTGCTTGTGTACCGAACCCGGCCTGTTATACCACCAATTGCCTGCTGTTTCAGCTACTGGACTCCGAGCCTGATCCCAGATCGTGACATACACACGCACAATCACACACAGACACACAATAGGTTGGACTTGATGGACCTGTGTCTTTATTCAACCTCAAATACTATCTTACTCTGTAACTATTTTCCGATTTTTCAGTAGTGTGACATGTAGAAAGAAACATTAGATCTTCATCGATTTCCACTGAGTGGTTTTTATAAATTGTATCTAAGTGTGATTCGTATTTATGTCTCAAAGTATTTTCACGTTTTAAGTTTCGAGTAGAAATCAAATTTAGAACCGTTCATTTATCTTCTACGCTTTTAAAGGTGCCCATACACTGTACAATTCTCATATGAGAATGGCGGGAAATCCCGCGATCGTACGAGAATCGTGCAGTGTATGGAAGGCGTGCGACCGTTTCTACTGTACGGTCGCACGTCTTCCATCGAACAAGCAGGCTGGAAAACCCGCCGGGAATCGTACGATTCTCGGCGAGTGAGTGGCCTGCTGGTTCGACAACTGACGAGCGGGCCGGTGTGCGCACGCGCACACTGCCCGTTTGCCGTCCTTGCAAGCCCGCCCCTCATTGCAGTCATCGCAAGTACTATCTGCCTGTCCAAGATGGGCAGATCGTACGTTTTTTTAAGTACTTTACAACCATCGCAAGACTAAGGTCTTGCGATGGTTGTAAAGTGTATGGCCACCTTAAGACTTCAAGCAAATGGAAAATTAAATACCCTTTAATCGGGTTACGTGTTTGTTAATGAAGAAATATAAAATCCTGAGAGCAATGCATTAAGTTCACAACTTTTCATACAGAATCCGCCTCCAGCAATCCAAAAAAAAACAATGAAGTAGCTTTTGTAAGTTGAGAAGAAAAATCGGCAATTTTTATAGAAAAGGATGAAAAGCTCTTCAGCTGGTCGTACATGAGGAAATGTTCAGTCAATTTAAACCAATGTCAGGATACCGTGCACGGTGTCCCCACACCGCATGCAGGTATCTCTATGGGAGGACCAAATGCGTGACCACACCAGACAATGCTTATGAACTTATAGTTTATTAGGCACTCCAAAATCATATAAACACAAGCAACCCCACCAACACCCACCAGTACCATAAAATAGCCAAACTAGATGCAAACAGCAAAATCACACACAGACAATAACGAGGCTAGTGAACCTGGGGAGCCACGGATCAGGAGACCTCAGGGGAAGGAGTCAGGGTTCAAGGAGGCAACGGGGTACAGGTTATGGCGACAATACTGAGGCACCGGCCTCACTGTGAGAAGGGGCTAAATACCCTCCCAGGCCAGCACCAGGTGGAGACCAATTGCCGACAGCTGGGAGACACCCGCAGGTGAGCATCGGAATTGCAGGACCTGGTTCCAGCAGCACCTGGAGGTGCTCCGGTCCCTGACAACCAAGTTGATTCTTACAAAAGATACAAGAGGACTCTGCAATGGGGGGAAAAGAGGGTTTAACCTCTGTATTTTAAAGCTGAACTCCAGGGTACAGGTAAAAAAAGCGCCTATCTTAATTTTGGTTGCCCCTGTCTGCTAGACATCATGTGGCCAGGTTGCAGCTGCCATGAAACCCGGACACAGCATTCAAAACCCGGACTGTCCGGGTGTATCCTGGACAGGTGGCAACCCTCATTTTAGCTGTAAACGAGCGGGCCGGTGTGCGCACGCGCACACTGCCCGTTTGCCGTCCTTGCAAGCCCGCCCCTCATTGCAGTCATCGCAAGTACTATCTGCCTGTCCAAGATGGGCAGATCGTACGTTTTTTTAAGTACTTTACAACCATCGCAAGACTAAGGTCTTGCGATGGTTGTAAAGTGTATGGCCACCTTAAGACTTCAAGCAAATGGAAAATTAAATACCCTTTAATCGGGTTACGTGTTTGTTAATGAAGAAATATAAAATCCTGAGAGCAATGCATTAAGTTCACAACTTTTCATACAGAATCCGCCTCCAGCAATCCAAAAAAAAACAATGAAGTAGCTTTTGTAAGTTGAGAAGAAAAATCGGCAATTTTTATAGAAAAGGATGAAAAGCTCTTCAGCTGGTCGTACATGAGGAAATGTTCAGTCAATTTAAACCAATGTCAGGATACCGTGCACGGTGTCCCCACACCGCATGCAGGTATCTCTATGGGAGGACCAAATGCGTGACCACACCAGACAATGCTTATGAACTTATAGTTTATTAGGCACTCCAAAATCATATAAACACAAGCAACCCCACCAACACCCACCAGTACCATAAAATAGCCAAACTAGATGCAAACAGCAAAATCACACACAGACAATAACGAGGCTAGTGAACCTGGGGAGCCACGGATCAGGAGACCTCAGGGGAAGGAGTCAGGGTTCAAGGAGGCAACGGGGTACAGGTTATGGCGACAATACTGAGGCACCGGCCTCACTGTGAGAAGGGGCTAAATACCCTCCCAGGCCAGCACCAGGTGGAGACCAATTGCCGACAGCTGGGAGACACCCGCAGGTGAGCATCGGAATTGCAGGACCTGGTTCCAGCAGCACCTGGAGGTGCTCCGGTCCCTGACAACCAAGTTGATTCTTACAAAAGATACAAGAGGACTCTGCAATGGGGGGAAAAGAGGGTTTAACCTCTGTATTTTAAAGCTGAACTCCAGGGTACAGGTAAAAAAAGCGCCTATCTTAATTTTGGTTGCCCCTGTCTGCTAGACATCATGTGGCCAGGTTGCAGCTGCCATGAAACCCGGACACAGCATTCAAAACCCGGACTGTCCGGGTGTATCCTGGACAGGTGGCAACCCTCATTTTAGCTGTATATACAAATCAATCATTGGGGACTGCAAGATTGCTCTAGACTTTGAAGGAGACACGCGGGTGCAACATGAAGATGGGCAACAGGCACTTTAATCTGAGACTGCCTAAAGGGGGTATTTTAATGTCGGAGCAGTAAAAATGTGGAACTTCCTTCTACAGCTGGTGGTATCAGCTGAGAGATAGATGAGCTTCTAAGTTTACAAAATAAACACATTATACACAATATGCAAAGTATACAGCAGTAGGGATGCCCCTAGTGATGTGTGTACACACAGAGTACAGTACAGTATATCATTGGTTCTCAACCATTCTAGAGCCAGGACCCCTTGGTAACATTTGCCAAGTTGTGGTGACCCCCAACGGAGCGCTGGGCTCCAGAATTAGTAAGGCGCTGGACTTGGGACTAAAAATTGAAACACACTCACAGCCCCTGCTACCTGCTCTGTCTCCATGCAGCCTTCTCAGCCCCAGCGCTGCTTAGACCCCCGCCTCCCGCAGAGCTCACATTGTATGAGAGGCAGGAGGACAGCAGCGGCTGTGAATAGAAAAGCCCCGCTGTACACACTCCCCCGGCCACTAGATGTCGCTGCAGCGTCCAGGGAGTGTGTATTGCGGCACTTTTATATTCACAGCCTCTGCTGTCCTCCCGCTGACACTGCTGTGCTAGGAGAAGGCAGGCCCGGCGCTACCGCAAGGCAAGCGGCCGCCTGAGGGCGGAAAAAACAGGGCATTTTGACAAGTACTTGTACTTGCCAAAATGCCCCGATGTTTGCGCTGTGTTTTTTTTTTCACTTACCTTCGGTGCGGGAGAGCAGCGGCGAGTCAGCGCTGGTCCGGTGGGAGGAGCTCCAGGTGGGGGTCCTAATTTAGCTGGCCGGCGACTGCCAGAGTATCCC